TTTTACACACAGGTCACTATGCCATTGCTAAGACAAATTTTATTAATACTAATAAAAACATGAATTACTATTAAATCATGCAAATTACATTAATTAAATTAACCTAAAGCATTTTTTGCAACATTGTAATGTTAATAAATTATTTTGTATAAAGGATTTAATAGCATGAATAATATTTAACTAATTCACTAAATGGTAATGGCTATTTATTTACTTTTTTAATAGTTATTAAATCAACTTAATATATTTTTTCTTAGGTTTTATTCATTAACATGAGATCTGCAATTATATAATTATTAAAACAATTATTACGATTTCAATAATTAATAATTGTAATTATTATAAATATATTCAATCTAAATTACTATTTCAGATTAATGTTTATAATTTTCAATATTAACAACTTAGTTTTCTAACATGGTTTTTAAAGCATTGTAAATTTCAATATGATTACTATTAATCAGGTCACTAATTAAAATTACAACATAATTATGACTTTAATCACTGTTTACCAAAAGCCAAAATTACATTGATTAATAATTATCTTACGAATAACCTAGCTTGATGCCTATTAAGGATTCCAAAATTATTTTTCTTAATTAATGCAGAATATTTGAAAAGGACTTTAATGACATGATTATTATTTAATTATTAAACTAATGATGACTAAGTATGTGCAGGTTTGTTATAATTAATATATTTGATTAATATTAATATTTATTTTATTTATTAATTACGCAAACAAATGGGCCACTATTTACTAATTAAAAAAAACAAATTTACTAATTAAAATTGCATTTACTAATAATTATTAAAAGAACCGTTTCATTATTTCCAAAAAAAAAAAAAAAAGAATCGTTTCATTTTATTTGTTATCAGTTCCTTTCATGCCACCACCGTGTTTGCTCTTCTTCAAATTCAATTGTTCATATATGTTGTAATTTTTGTTTGACAGCGGACTCCATTACAAAACTATGTCCCAAGAGATTTTAAAATCAAAAAGTGAGGCAATTTTTTTAACAGATATATGCGTATAACAAAACAACTTGAGAACACATGTATCTGTCCACATCAATACACCACAACATGTAAAAAACAAACATGTGGTCCCCGGAAAAAAAATAACCAGATCATGCCTATAAATAGTTCAAACACAACACCATACAAACCACAACACCATACAAACAACAACATAGCACACAGATATAAAAATCGAGCCAATAGGTAAAAAAAATACAATGCCAAAGTACCTGTGGTTTCGTGACTAAACGGAAAGATGGGAATGCACACAGTTGCTCCGGCGGAGGTGCCAACGGACTGGAGAACGATCTTTGGACCCAAAAATTTGCTTGCTTCACTCTCTGACTACTTACGAAAATGGAAAGAAATGAGGGAGACAAACAGAGAAGAAGAAGAGGGAGGGAACAAGAGGGAGGAGGGAGAGAGGCACCGGTGCAGGAAGAGATAAGAAATGAACGGTTGTAAAGGAATGCCGCCAACAAGTGTTACAAGACTTTGGCCACGTGGCTTAGTCTCGCCAACTGACATGGCGGGACTGGTACATGTCACAGCAGGTGGCGGGATACGTGGAAATTACACGTGACATGGAGTGACGCGATTGGTTGGGCTTCCTACGTGGCTTCTAATCTTGTCTTTCGCACTGGCAGGACTTATCTCGTCAGTCAAACCTACGTGTTTGACTGCTCTAATATGGCCATTCTTTTGAAATGTGTTTTAGGATGGAGATACATTTCAAAAAAAACATTAGTATGGATTTTTTGCCCTGCTACCTAGATTTTCATCTCCTATGGATGAAGTGTTATAAATTTTGTAGGTATGACTTTGGTACAATTTTTCTGTCCTGCAATGTATACAAAGCTGTACAACATTGAATATGCCTTTGTGTGGATAATGACATGGAAATCATGAGCTGTCCTACACTGGACAATTTGATGACCCTAACCCCTGAGGCCTATAATAGAGGTTCCCTAATGCATGCAATGGATCCTGATTCTACACATCGAAAATTTTGTACGTGCAAGTCAAAACTTGACATCAACATGTTCATTGAACATTTGCAATATATTAGATTCAGGAGACAAATAATTTGTACAAATTAATTGAAAAATCTTTTTAATAACACTTTTTTTTTAATGAATGAATGTTTCGAGACAAAAGAAATTTCTTTATATCAGACATTCCACAAGCCTTAAGTAATGATTTATAGTAGTATATACTTATAAATAATTGAAAAATAAAAGACTACTAATAAAAATGATTTTTTTTTCTTTGTTGTTCATCCATTTCGATCATAGTTGTGCCTTCTCTTTACCTTTATAATAATTTGATACTGCGGTGATTAGGATACTTGAAGTGTTGAGGATTATAACGTGTACCTTTGCCGGAAAACTCGGATCGAAATGTCAAATGTTTTAAGGTTATATTATGGCTCCAGTGAGACACGCGTACACAATTTCATTCACAAAGTTGTACGAAGGGTAGGGGACGAGGGAGTTTTCACTGATTTAATGAGATGACTGAGTTTTCAATGGTTTAATGATGTGGGTTTGTGATGTCATTCTTTGAAAAAAAAATTGTGACCGAGGTTCGCATTATGTGTGTCTTATGTCTGTTTAGTACTTCCAAGTCAATCTTGATGTTTATGAATGACGAGTTATCTTAGAAACGAAGTTAGGTTAGAAATCGTGGCATTGGAAAAATGACTGCTACCTAACAGATAATCTTCTTTTTCTGCATAGTAAAATAGGGAAAAATCATTCAGAGATCCCATAAACCTGCAATTAAGGAGATTCTTAGGGGCCGTTTGGTAGGCGTTTTATTTTGCAATTCCCGGGAAAACAACACTTGACAAGATTGAATCCCGCGTTTGGTAAACCAAAAAGAAAATCTTTCCCGACCACAAACTTATCCCGAGAATTCATACCAAGTGTAATGAACAGTACCGATTGCAAAGATGAAAACTCCATCTTGAAGATGGAACCATTTCGTTCCCGGGAAAAGATGATTTGAGGCGCAAAATAATTGACTAAATTAACCCTCATTTTTGTACGATGGGTGTCAAATCCTGAGCAAGCTGTGCTGCTTTACTTGTTCGTGTATTTGGAGAACATACAGATGACAACAAAGCACAAATCATAACAAACAACAACAAAAAAACAGAAATTGTGAAGCTCGCAGTAAAAGGAACCTAGATAAGATTAAAGATGAAAAAAGAAGACTTTAACAAGACGAGAGCAGGTGGCGAAATTAGCAGCGAGATCGTTGATGGAAGTCATCTGAGCCGCAGCAACTCGGACTGAGTTAGTGGCCATCGTTGAGACAGAGATAGAGAGAGAAGCTCGCAGGTTTTGCCGTTGGACTAATGAGTACGGCAGGGACATTTTCGTAAAATTACATAACATTCCTACAAATATATTACAACCAATCAAACACACACCCACTAATTTTTAAATAATTTCTCGGGAAAATTTCATCATACCAAACAGCTCTTTACAAATTTGTCAGTAAAATATATTTTTAACTATAACTCAGTAAACATTCTTTCCTGGATTAATAAAAATTTCTCTTCTACCAAACGCCCCGTTAAGGTAGATCCTGACATTGCCAAATTGTTGTTGTTGTACAGGTGAAAACTTCTTTACACATATAATATAATATAGTGAAAAGTTCATCAATGTTGGTTTACTTTAAAATCAGTTATGTTTCTATGATTTTTTTTATCACATATGTTCCTATTATTTGCAAAAGAGTATGTTTTTTTATCATATATGCTTCTGTGATTTTTTATATTTTACAAAACACAAGGGCATATGTGATAGAAAAAAATCATAGGACATAGATAATTTTGAAGTAAATTACAGAGACATTAATGAATTTTTTCCTATAATATATTAAAGGGTTCTCTTTTCTCATGTTATAACAGCTAGCATTTTTCATGTCATAAATACAATAAATAATGCATTTGTTAAAAAGAAAAAGAAAAAAAGATAACACAAATTTCAATATCTTATACCATAACACGAGAAAACGTACGAAAAAATGATTTTCCTATAATAATATGATCAAATGAATTTTTCTTCTGCACTTTTTGGTGGTCCAGATGATGTGTAGTCAATCACATTGGCCAAACCATCAAATAAACTAATATACTTTTTCTACCTCCAAAGTATTGCAAGGTGGCTTACATAATTCGAGTGCAACCATATTATCCACTTTTTTTGTTTTTTAGTAGATATATTATCCACTTTATATAATAAACTGAATTAGATTCTTCGTTGTTAAAGTAAATTAATATTTTATTTATTTTTTAATCAAACACATATTTTTTTAGTTGAAATTCCATATCTTCTTTTTTTAAATTTTTTTAATGTTTAACATTTCTGATTTATTCTCAATTTTCTTATTCTTAATCTTTATTATCAGTAAAAGAATTAATTAGAAAATTCTTAAATTTATTTAACTTACATAATGAATTCCTTCTTTATGCGTTTATATTCTATTTATTTAATTAATCAAATATTAAATTTGCATGAATAAAAAGGGGAAAAAAATATTAAATATATCTGGAAAGAAAATATCCTTTATTTATTTTTTTGGTAGAAATCTTTTTTGTTTTAACATTGAGAGTAATCAATAGTGAGAGCTTCCACTTCAAAAGCATCGTATATCATTACACAATGATGCAGAGTATACTAAAAATGTACTAATTAAAGAGCTTAAAACTTTATCGTAATTCATACTGAATCACCAGTTCAATAAAATATTTGGTTTTATTTATTTTCACACACAAACAGCTTTTCAGTTGAACACAAAGATCACAGGTAAACTAGATCGTAGTTCTAATCAATCCGAGGAAGCAAAAAGAATGCAAAACTTGTAAAAGAAAAATCAGGGTAGGAAGGGAGGCAGAGAGAAAAAAAGAAAAGCTTAATATCTTCCCTTTAACGTGCTAAAAAGAGAAAAAGGAAGAACTGTCCTATAATTTAGACAGCAGAAACAAAAATCTGCCACACCTTAACGTCACAATCCAAACTGCCACTATAGACTAGAAAAGATGCTTCTTCTGACTCCGATGGATTTGAATGATCAACAACTGCAGTTATGCACTTAATTGAACCTGTGTGCCCTTCTAAAACAGCTAAACATGAATATTCAGTATGAACACCTCTCCAAATTCTAATTGTTTTATCAGCAGAACCACTACACACCAAATCCAATACAACAGCCAAACACAATATGGACTTAGTGTGCCCCCTAAGCGCACCCACCACAACCATTTTGCCATCATATCCCTCTTTCTCCCAAACCAATATAGATCTGTCACATGCACCAGAATACAACAGAGACTCATCATTGCTCAGAGCCAAGGCATTAATCCCAGAGTTGTGTTTCTCCAAGGTATCCACCAGTGAGTGTTTCTTTTCTCCTTGCCCTTTCTTCCACACCTTGATTTTCTTATCTGCTGATCCAGTATAAACATGCCCATCATTAGAGACTGCAACAGCATTTATGGCATCATCATGGGCGTTGTTCACTGATTCCAAGCATGTGAAGTCACTGGTTCGCCAGATTTTGATTGTCCTATCCCATGAAACTGAATATAACAAGGTTCCATCTTTGGACACGGCCAGAGCAGAAACCGTGTCAACATGATGAACCCATGTGCATTTTTTGTGCCTTCGAATTTGGACATGGTTCTTTGGGATCAATACCTTGGAGGCACGGTCACCAAGCGTTGGGAGAGTGGCTAAACGGGTGTACTTTTGGTGGTTCGATTCATTGTTACTAATCTTCCAAACCCGAATTTTATGGTCTTGGTGAGCACTAAAAAGCTTGTCATATTGAATCACTAAGGACTTCACAGCACCCTTTCCAGCAATTACCATGTGAGTGGTGGAATGTTCAGGGTCGAATTCAGAGTGAAAAGGGGAGCGGTTCCATGATTTGATTTCTCTGTCAGATGAACCAGTGTAGAGGAAGTTGCCAGCAAGAGTTAGAGAGGATATGTAGGAAGTGTGGCCTTTGAGAGTTGTGAGGCAGTGATGGTAGGTCGTGGGAGTGTTCTGGCGTTGAGATTGGGAGTTATTAAGGGAAGGAACTGATATTAGGCTGCGTTGTGAAGACAGAGAAGTTAACTCTGGTTGAAGGTGTTTAGAGTGAGATGAGGAAGAGCCACTAAAAGATTGTTGGTATTCCATGATTCACATGGTAAGGTGAGTGAAAATGGTATATATAGCAGAAAGCGAAATGATCTAATATTATAGATATAGCAGTAGCTAGTGATGATGCTCTAGTTATCACTAGCAAGATTGGTGTGTAGGGTCTGCAGGGACATGATGGGGAAGCAAAATTGGTCATGTAAGTTAAGGGCCATTATTAAATGGGAGAGGAGCTTTAAACTCATTAGGCAGCGCCATGAGGAATGCTGGGATGGGTAATGAAGGCAAATCTTTCTTAATTAAAGATGGTGTCACTCTCAAGTCTCTATTGTCTTTCCCATTCGCCCTTTGTAAAGTTGTGTAGGCAGAAATCGGGTACCAAGGGTCGAGCTCAACTTTCTTGCTCTTGTCTGATAGGAAAAATCCATATTAACAAATTTGATCCAGCCACTATTAAAAAATAAACCTTCTAAAGTAAATTAGAAAAATGAATTAAATTACTTTAATGTGAGAGAGATAGACACTCAAGTGAAAATTTAGCATCAGATAATTCAATTCATTTCTATACACACACATCTCTATAAAATTACCTAAAACCTACTATAGGTAGATTTGGTACTTGGGAGTTTTTAGCTACCATTTATAAAGTCTCCCAGATAAAATATATGGGTAAGTGATTGATCTAAGGTTGTCATTTCTAAAGTCCAACTAGCTAATGAAATTATCCATGACTGGGAACAAACCGTATTAAATAATCTGTTCAATGGATCAGTGACGATATGGCTATTACTGTCATCTCTTGTAGGAGCTATTGGTACTGGCGAGCAATCCCGCAATTAATTACTATGATCGGTCACTTCGAATAAAAGAAACATAAATCAGGGCCATTAAAAATTTGTAGGTTGTGTACCAAAAGAATTTAAAAATTGTAGGTTTAGGTCATGGACAAAGACTTATCATCAACATGTTGTGGATAACAAGCTAGTTACCAAAAGGCCATTAAAATTGATAAATAATTTTAAGTTTTATAAGGTTAAGGAGTACCAATGTTATGAAAATCAGATCGGATCAGCCAGGTCGATTCGAAATCCGATTAACTGTAATTTGACCGATTCGGTTATTACATTGGATTGACCAAGTATCAAATTCAGTACGACCCGGTCGGTTTTGATGAAAAACGATGACTCGACCGGTTAATAGTGACCCGGCCCGAGTTTTGAAAAAAAAATATTTCCAAAAAAAAAAAGTTTTCTAAAAAAAATAATTCATAATTGACATATTTGAGTGATCTGTTATTTATTGACTTACATAAGTTATGTACTTATAATACTAATATTATCTCAGTTTTTCACTATGCAGAGAATTTTAATTTGATTTATAGTTAGAGATATCGTTTAGTAAACCTGAAACACCAATATCACAGCATTATATTTTTGTTTATTTTTTATTGGATAATAATGTATAATTTATTATTTTTTATATTTAAACATTTAAAACTTATATTATTTTTTTAGCTATTTGAGTATGTTTTATAATTTTTTTAATATAAATATAGATTTATATATAATCACCGGGTTATATGATTTAACCAGTGACTCAATACCTCGACCGGATGATTCATTGCATCAATTTTAATAACATTGAAGGGTACTGTGAAATTAATTAAAATTCAAGTTACTACGGCTGTATTTTTTATTTTATTTTTTACAAATGCTTTTTCACGAATTTTAACCTTTGACATTACAGAAACCTTAACACTTTAGCTCATTTACCACTTGAGTCCCTTATTGTCTTGTCTGTAAAAGAAGAAGAAGTGCTAATTTATAATTCTACTCATATCGAAGTCGGCATTCCTGATTCCAGGTTTTGCAGAGGACATTTTTAATAAGCATATCATCCGAAAGACTTTAGCTTAACGATGTAGGTTATTAGGGAATAAAGCATGTTTGTCTCAAAAAGTGAAAAGAAAAAAACAACATAGCCAATGGGATCTGGGGTCTGTACAAGTAGTGGAGAACAATTCCAGTCCGCTTATCATTTTGTGCCTTCCACTTTTTCACTACATATTTCAATCATGATCCAGGACCCGCTATTTTTGGTTAAGATTAATTTTGGTAAGATACCCTTTCAAATCAAATCTTCGTACTTAAATTTTTCCTCGAAAGAAGTTAAGAAATCCTCTCTATTCTTTTCTATTTTCTTTTCTTTTCTTGATTCTTGAGTGACTTTGGTGTAGATCTGACTCCGTGGCAAAATATTTAGAACTCGTTTGTATTGGCTTATCAAGAAAGGTCATTTTTATGGTTTTTTTATTTTAAAAGTACTTTTTATAAAAGTTATAGCTATTTAGATTTTAAAAAAAATATTTGACTTTTGACTTCTGCTTTTTTGATAAGCTAAAATTTTTAGCTTCTGAAAAAAATAAATTTTTAGCTATTTTTATGATTTCTGTTTTTTTAAAAGTAGGCATTTAAACAGACTTTTTTCGAGAAGTGTTTTTTTTTTTTTTAAGTAACTTTTGAAGGGTAAAAAATTCATCCAAATAGGCTCTCTGCTCTACTAATATATGTATCAAGCACATTGCAAAGGGAAGGCAAGAACATTTTTGTATGCACCACATAAAAGAAGAGAATCAGGAGATGATAACAAAAATTAAAAATAAAATAAAATTGCTAGGTAAAAATAATAATAAACAAAATTCGGAATTAGAAACTAAGCATGAGTAGGTCAAGACAAACCACGTGACTTTTGCATTTGTACATAAACCATGTGGCTTGTATTAACCATTTATTGGCCCTTATGTATCCAGGCTCTGCTTTTCCGCATTTTTATGTCTCACAGAATTGTTCAACATGCACCCTTTCTAGTTTCCTTACGAATGTGATACCCTAACGTACTATCAGGTGTCCTAATAACAGGGACCTCTGATAGGAAGCTGTGGACCCCATATTTTCAGCCATTTACTGAGTTATTTTGCCACATATTTTCGCACTTGAAGGCTAGTTTGTTCATATAGCCCATTCGGCGCTCAAATTGGAGTTTCGACCCTCCAATAACACGGCCCTTTGGTTCCTATCGGAATAGTTCCAAATTTCAATATTATTATTGATTTGGCTTGTCCATTTGTAAACCTTTCATTCAAAGAGGGCATCTTCATACATTAAAATTTCGCACAACTGATTGAAAATTGTGTGTGTATCTCTTTTATTAACATTAAATATATGAAATCTTTCTACCAAAAAAATATATATGAGATCTAATTAAAATTTATAAAATAAAAAATAAACACAAAATTTTCATAGGAGAAATAATTTATCCTTTTAAAGGATATAATTCAGGTACTTTTATCAATTTATAAATTATGTATTAAGGGTAGTATATAATTATAACATTAAAATTATACTTTTTTCTCTCTATTTAGACACTGTTTGTTGGACGGCTTTTTGACCCTTTTGCCCCTTATTAATTAATTAATAATCATTTTGTCCTTTACCCAGAACTATCTATCAACCTGCCCCTCTTTAATCGATTAACTTGAATATTTAATCGATTAAATGGTCAAAATAGGCAAAAATGGTTGACTCGAGATTTAATCGATTAAATCTCCATCTTTAATCGATTAATTTGAATATTTAATCAATTAAAACTTATATTTAATCGATTAAATATCTCAAATAAACGTGAAAGCATTGATTGAAAGAGTCAAACAAGGAAAACTCGCTACGTTCAAATGGAATGATTGAGGTTTAGTTTACTATAATGATTAAGTTTTGGCCGCCCCAAGTGTTCGTTTGAAATCTGTCTTACTTGCTGTGAAGAAATACGAAATGAAAGTATTTCACCCCGGCCTGAACTGAAGTTTGAATATGTTAATAAGGGAAGTGAGTACATGCATGGTGGTTATCCTCAACCAGTATATTGTGATTTAGGGACTTCAGATGGTACTATTGAGATATATATTGATTGGAATGCTAACAGTGATGGAAGTATTAGATGTGCTCCAAAAGAAATGAGGGGTTGTGGTGACTATGTATTGGAGCTGAAGTCCATACTTCCAAAAGGATGGATTTCTAAGTTGGAAGCCAAAACTCGTGACATGCTGAAGAATTTTTGCAAAATTGAGCACAAAACTCTTCAGAAAGAAGCAATATTAAGCAGCAAATCTATGATAAGAGCTGCTTTTGGAGATGGCATGAATGATAATAACATATATTGTCCATTTAAGTGACTTGTCAGAAGAAGGGCTATTTCTCTTCCAACAACATTGGATTAAAGGTGAACCAATCATAGTTCGAGATGTTCTTAAACTAGGGACAAGTCTGAGTTGGGAGCCAAAGGTCACTTGGCGAGCATTATGTGAAAATTTGGATTCAGGAACAACTCAAATGTGTTAATGAATCAAGATTGGTTCTCGCTACGCAATGAACCAACGAGTTTTTCTTGTTTGTCTCATTCAATCAATACTTTCACGCTCATTTGGGATATTTAATCGATTAAATATAAGTTTTAATCGATTAAATAGAAAGATTTAATCGATTAAATCTCGAGTCAATCATTTTTGCCTGTTTTGACCATTTAATCGATTAAATATTCAAGTTAATCGATTAAAGAGAGACAGATTGATGGATAGTTTTGAATAAAGGGCTAAATAGTTATTAATTAATTAATAAAGGTAAAAGAGTCAAAAAGCCATGTTTGTTGATGTGAAAAGTGGGAAAGTTACAAATTTAATATTATAATTTTGTACTACCTTAATACATAGTTATAAATATGGGTGTAAATGGGTCAGGCTGGCCTGGCCTAGCCTACGTTGAGGCTGGTCTAGCCCGACCTACGTTGAAAAGTAGAGTAGGCTTAAGCTTATAAGAAAGTTTTTTTAACAAGTAGGCCATAGGCCTATTTTGTCAAGCCTGACCTAAAGCCTTGTAGGCTAACCTATTTAATTTTTAAAAATAAAATAAAATAAAATATTTATTTTAGGGTATATGATATACATTATAGAGCTGGGGTATTATGTTGACTCTTTCTTGTTTGTCATTTTTTATGAATTATGAGAAGTACTAGTGCATGCTTGAATGGAACTTTGCTCAGTATATTTTTATAGTTATTTTTTTTACTATTGTAAAATTTTTAATGCTCACTAGTGAATT